CGACCTCACCCTCTTTCGGAACCCTTTCGGGACGTCAAATGACAGCAAGACCTCTCGGCGCCACAGTTAGTATTGTTGTAATATGCTTCCTGATTTATGATAACTATAGTAACTATAGTTAGTACATATGTACTAAGCTAAGTTCCTGCTAAGTAAGCATACTACTTTTGGATTGACGATAATTCGGTGTTTATTTGTGATTCTGGGGCAAGGCCAGAATGAGGGAAAATGGGCATGGTCAGGCACTTTTATAGGAGCGCTCGCTCACAAGTCTCACTTCAAGTTCGACTTTATTTCTGAGCTGCAGTTCCGAGTTGAGTGATGAGCTCGCGCTTCGCAGTTGGTGCTCGCGCTCGCCCCTCAGCTTCGGATTCTGTGAGCTTGGCTCGAGACTCGACTTTCGTTTTTGTTATCATAAGTTATGGACCATAACACTTTTCCCCCCTTGCTGGCAAAATAAAATTGAGTTCAGGTTACAGCTACAGTAAAGTTTAACGATGAGCTTAAGTAAAGATTAACGTTGAGCTACAGTAAGGTTTAACGTTGAGCTACAGAGAAGATTTACGTTGAGCTACAGTAAGGTTTAACGTTGAGCTACAGTAAGGTTTAGCGTTGAGCTGCAGAGAAGATTTACATTGAGCTACAGTAAGGTTTAACGTTGAGCTACAGTAAAATTAGACGTTGAGCTACAGTAAGGTTTAACTTCGAGCTACAGTAAGAGATAAAATGTTCTGAGTCGAAAAATTTGAAGGGCTGTTGCTGCTGTTTGAGGTCTTCTTCCCACCTATTCTTCCCCTCCTTCTGCCAGTGTCGTTGAGCTACGTTTGTGTCAGGATGTAAAAACACTAGTTTCTTACTTGAAGTTGTTATGCTGCAAAGCCATCGTAAGAAATGCCATCCTTGAGCATCCGCAAAGTATGCATTTTCGTGTAAGGCGAGCGAATTGTACGGCGCATTCAGGATGAAAGGAGTGAAGGCAGCGCAGTGTTACTGTGGGGTTACCCTTTCGACAAATCGGGCGTAAACGGCCGTTTGTATGATTCTCCATGTGTGTCGTAAAGAGACGAAGTCTCATCGAGTCCCAGCAAGCAGGACAATGATCATATTTTTGGCATCGCTCAAAGAAGCAGTTTATGTGAAGAAAGTGCCCACATTTTGCTTTGATACCCATCTTCATACTTGATTCACTGTCTCGCGTTGAACAAAAAACGCAGACTTCGTCAGGGTTTAGCGTTACTCTTCGGCATCCTTCGACGAAAACGAACATGAAAGTTGTTGTAACGAGCCAATTGATGGGTGTTTCTTCGGCTTTTCTATTGACAGAGCTAGTTCTTCCGGCTCTTTCAAGGCGACCACTCGAAAAATCGTTTCTGTTACTCATGATCTGAATCAGAGTTCTAATAGTTTCTGTCAGCTTACAATAATGGATGTCTTTAACAGCTGTAAATTTCATCGTTTTAGCTATGTTTTTTCAAAAGAAGAGCTTTTAGCAAAAACTGTATAAAAAAGAACTGTAACAGTAAAAATTAAGTTCACTTTTCGTAAAAAACTTGCGTTTTTCGGAATCCGTTTTTAGATGCTGGAATTGATGTTTAAACGGTATTTGAGAAAATCCCTTTTTTTTTTAAAGCTCATCGATCAATTTTTTTTATGAGCCCATTGAATTGAACTTACAGTTAATCAGTGTTTAGCTACAGAATGATAAGTGGAATCCTTAATGGTTCAGTTTTTCTGTAATCGGACTCAAGTTTTTTTTTATGAATCAGTCTTTCATGAGAGTCCATGATTCTTTTGTCCATATTTTCTGATTTCCATGAGATTTTCGATGAAGACAGACGTAAGCTAAATAATTGCAATTATGATCCGTTTACTTTCAAATGAAGAAAACGAGGTTTTTCTTTTCCAATAGGACTAGTTTTTTCAAAATGGAGGAATAAGGGGATGAATGAAAGTACTATTTAAATGAATATTTATCTTAAGGGTACGGTTATCGATTTTGAAAAGGGGTTTATTCTGATTGTTGAAAAAACTTTGTCGTTTCCTGAATTTAAGAAGCTTCCGTCAGTTTTTGGTGTAATGAGCCTCGTACGGACCAAAATTTTGGAAAAATCTGTATTAAGGCTAGTTTTTATTAAATTTTATGATCAAAAGGGTTAGAGTCCGTTTAAGATTCCTAATTTTGCGTTTTCCGAAAATCAGGTTCGCGCGGATGAATTTCTGTGGTGAAACCCTTAGTTGATTTTACTTGCTGTTTCGGAAAAAGCATCCCTTTAGCTTTTATCAATACTGTTAAGGGTGTCTTGATCATTCAATGAAGATTGGAAATTCAATTATTGAGCCTCTTCAGAGCACTGACCAGGTAAATTTTACTTGTTTCCTTACAAAAAGTGCTGAATTTGTATTTACAAAATCGATTTTCGACAATATTTGAGATTGCGCTCGAAAAATTTTGTTATAAAAATTTCTTCCGTCACCTGAGCTACGGTCGAAATTCGTAAAAAAACGGGGTGGGGTTCCTTAAGTCAGAAATTTTTAATGATTGAACATTATTTTCATCAATGGGTATTCTGATTGGTTCCGAGAAACAAAGATCAAGTTAAGCAAATCAATTTTATTGAAACCCGTGATCTGCGCTAGAATTGACCTTCTCAGAGTTATTCGAGCGTAACGGTGGTGTCCTCAATACTGTTCGCTCCTAATTATTTTATTGGCCGTAAAATTTCGAACTTCTCCTTCGCCGCCTTGACCTCTTTATTTTTATGGTTTCTGCCTGAGCGCTTCAACCGAGTTTCTGAATTTCAGAATTTCTCATTTTGAAAAATCGGTCAAAAAGGCCTAGAAAATGATTTTTTTCAAATCTAGAGGTTAAAAGAAGGAAAGCAAAGAAAGAAAAAGATGGAAGACGAATTTTTGAAAATATCTAAAGTAAGTCGGGAGCAATTTTTTTTCAGCGCATTTTCGGACTAAGTACAATTTAAGGGTATGCATTTCTTTTAAATTTTCGGATTCGCCGTTTTTCCGAAAATGAAATATTAAAGATTACAAAGGATCTTTATCCCAACTTCAGTTGCATTTAAACGAAAGTGGGCAACTCTAAAATGGTCAATAAGAAATTCATTTAATAATTTCGGGGCTCAAATTTCTTAACTCAGATCTTTCTAGAAACGCAAGAGTCCTATTTTAAAATCGACTGAACCCAAAGGGTTTTGCGCTCTGAATTCAAGTGAGCCTTTTTCTTTAAGAATATCATAAAACAATTTTCAATTGAACTAGTAATGTCAATTCGAGCCCTTATTTCAAAAATTCTTTATCTCAAATATGAACAGAGGACAAGCACAACTCAAAAGCATTGTTGCATCACAAATTCTCCGTATCACGTGACCTTCACGAATATCATTTTAGATAAGCAATTGCTTGAATATCCCTTAAAAATGAAATGAACAGAAATTCTTCCTTTTTCACTACTTTTGATTCATTTTTTCTAAATGCGAATTTTTCTTGGCTTGATTCGGGTGGGTCAAAAGTTATTTACCATTGTAAATTTGGCTACTTGAGAAAACTTTCATAGGTCACAAACACTGTTTGAAAGCTGCGTTTTCAAAAACTTTTTCCGGTCGTGTTCAGATTCCGGTCCCCGGAATACAAACATAGGTAAAATAGCTTTTTTTCTGGCTCAAGTCTTTCATTTGACTCGGAGTGTTAAATATTTCTTTGAGATCATTTTATTTTTCAAATTATGTAACGAAAGCCCTTTATCCTCAAATTTTCGTAATGGCTATATTTGCGTCTTATTTATCAAAGTTTAAAATTTGTGAAGTTGTCGTAAAAACTTATTATTTGAGCTGATTTGCTCTCGCTTTGTGGTTTATTAACTTACTTTTTTCTGACGCGAAACGAAATCGGTGGGCTTATTCTTTTCCACAGACGTTCAGAGATTTTTCAAAGTGAATCTCCATGGGCCCACTTTCGTGTAGTGAGATGGCCAAACGTCATTTACGGGGTGCCTTTGGCTCCCTGGCAGTATACTGAGACCAACTGCCCTCCAAATGGAATCCCTATTATGTTAAATACCTTTACTTAGCGAGAGACCACATGCATGATCCATGCGTATGGCGAAGTCAATATTGTCTTTGCCTATCCCTCTGCAAGGTGATAATAACATCTGTCACCGGTCTACAGTTTGCCTGCGAAACGTAAAAATAAGGTCTATAGTAGTATAATGTCTGGCTAGGGCTTAGCTGCAGGCCGCCCTTTCGCCGCGCCGAGTCCAAAATGAAAAAAGTGAAAAAAGGGTGGATTTTGCGCGCTCGACATATGGGGACCCCGGGGCAAATACTTGGAAAATATTCAGACTTTGACTAGGGTGGGCAGGCCGTACGGCAGGCCGTTTGGACTCGGTGCAGTTTTGGGCGATTTGCAGCCAGGCTCTAGCCAGACATTTTACTCAAGTGGTCGATCAAAATTAAGTGGTCAATAAAAACGAGTGGTCAATAAAAACGAGTGGTCAATAAAAGTGGCCGAAAGGCTCTAGAATCGGGGGGATAAAAATTTTAGCGACGAATTGGAAGCTGCCACCGGAAGTGCTTGGAATTGCTGCCACTGGAAGTCGACGGAGAAGCTGTCATCGAAAGTGGAACCTACTCCGCTGCTGAAACTACAAACGCCGCCCGTAAGCTGGAAAACTCTGCTCTACTCGACGACCGTTGTTCTCTGCAAAAGGTAAAATGAACACAGTTTCAGAAATCAAGAACCTTTATTAGCACAATGGGAGCATGGATAGCGATTGGAGCAGAAATGAAGGCGAGCCGTTGATTGGAGGAGGTCTTGTTGGTCGCTCGCAAATTCACACGCTCGCTGTCGCCGGGTAAAAGTATTTTTCCACGTGACTGGCTTGATGGTACTCAGCTGCTGACCCATTCTAAATGCTCTCATCTGATCACTGCACGCTAAAAGAATTTAATAAAGAATCAGTCGCAAATAAATGAAAATCAGGCTAACTTTTACTCGGACTCTTTGTCTTCCTTGTTGTCTTCGAGTTTCATTTCTTTGGCAAGTGCGTCGGCAGCAACTTTGCAAACTTCCTTGACGTCCTCATCGGTAAGGCTGGGCAGGCGAGGCTCATAATCATGCATAAAGTACTTCAAATCGTCGGGCATTATGCGAAAGTTGTTTTCGTACATGCAGATGTTGCTCTCGAGTTCTTGCAGGTACTCGCATTTCAGTTGACAAATTGGGTTGGTGCAAGCCGCCGCCAAAAGACACTGGTAAATGTCAAAGGAGAGCTGATCTTCAAAGACGTGGAATCGTGGAAAGGTGCCGTCCTTGACGAGCTTGGCGGCAATTTCCTTGAGTTTTGAAATGGTCCATTGGCGGTAAACGGTACCCTGGAAATCTCTTAGCAACAAGTACCCTAGAAGAATTATTAAAAAAGATTTTACCTCTGGCATATTTGCAGCGTCTAATAGCTTTCATTGACATGCTAATATAATCATGGGGATTAATAATTCAGCCTTCCCACACGCCCAACAGTTGTTCTAGAACACCCAAATTGTTGTTGTGGATAATGGTTGGGGTGTTGATGAAATTCCGTATTTTTGCGAAAAAGGGCTCACAATCTCTAGAATTGTTGTCAACCTGAGGCCGAAATTTCAAATTTCAATCAGTCGCCACTCGTTGCTCGACACAAAAGCTGCATTTTGCGCTTTCTACGTTTATCATGAAAACTAGGTCCAAGACCGCTTCCGAACGCCTGCGTGCGAATTCTACCGTGGAAGAAGCAACTGCTGAAGGTAAGTGCGCTACTTCTTTATTTGCAGGGAGAGGGGGGAAATTTACAGGGCCAAAAAAATCTTCACTTCTTTCGCTTCTGACTGACTGACTTCAAATATCTTCTTGTCCTCTTGGTTCTTGAATTTGAATGGTTGGCAGGTCCGATTTTCATTGTCGATCTGAAAAGGGTTAGAGTTTAGAGAGAGTTTTCAAAGAAGTCTATTCTTGTGACAGTTGCGAGATCGTTTAGATTCATTTCAAAAGTTTTCTTTGCAAAACTAAAACGTGTCAGGTTTTCATTTTAGAATGGGAGTCGCAAAGACAGTATACATAGCGTTTCATTTTAATGTCGGTGCGCATGGAATGAACGAGGAGATCATAGTTTCATTTTAACATACGTTGCCATGTGAATGAGGAAAATGGTTGCGATTCATTTTATCACTAAACTTGGGCTAGAATCATTTACGCAACGGGCTCATTTTATTCAAATTCGCTCGGGAATATAGTTGCCAAAGCGGAAATGGTTTCATTTTCTAATCATCTTGGTAACATTCGTGTTTATTGTTGGGATTCATTTCAAAACAAGTGCGGGAATATTGGCGGCCACGGTCTAGTTTCATTTTAAATTCGAAATGTGCATCAACACCAAAGAGAGTATAGTGTTTCATTTTAAGCGCAGGGGGAGAAGCTTTGGTACTTTCTCAAAATTTTAAAGTTTCATTTTGTTACGACTCGGACACCACTAAGGTGCGCTTTCAATTTAATTGGGCAGATTTGCTTTTCAATTTCCGGCCAAAGTATGCATTAGACCATAGACATATCATACCTTTTTAGAATCCTCTTGGCATGCTCTTTTGCTTTATCGAGCCAGAATTCAAAATATCCGGCTTTTATCGGATTTTTTGTCGGTTTTACCGTAAATTAATCGGTTTTTCTCAAATTTGAAATCAAAACTTCTGTATCCTCTACTCTGCTTTGTTTTCGAGCCGAAAAGCCCATGATGACTCATCGTTGATAAGGTTGAATCTGGCTTTTTATACCCAATAAGAGAAACAACAGCAGATACAAAGAAGAAAAAGAGAAAAAGAAGAACTTCAAAAAGAGAATCGAAGCTGGATAGTCTGGTGGTGGAGTAATGACGTCATTTTATCGGTTTCAATAGTTTTTTGAGGGTTTTTATTGCTTTTTTTCATGGTTTTTTCTCTTTCCATTGGATCATTTTGGAACTAAAAATTATTTAAATTGTATCTAACTCCAACATAGACAAAAAAGGAGTTTGAGGACCTTCGGCCACAAATGATCGAGAATGCGAGGAAGATTTTCGATTTGGTTTTTGATCAAGATTTGCGACGGTTACCTGATGAAAACTCGCGTATCGTTACACGCGCACTTCGAGGTACTAAAAACGACCTTTTTTGGTTTAACAATTATTACAGCAATATTTTGCGGGCTCAAAGAAGATCTTCCATCTTATTTTGAAGATGTTGATTTTCATAAAATCGATCTTGAAAAGATGCGCAACTACGATCATCAACTCTACAATAAACATCCGAAACGCAACTCTGGAAATCGAGTTGAGGGTCTGACACGGAAGAAAAGCAACAGATCAATGACAAAAAATGAAGAGATACGAGATGACATGATCCGATTTTTTGAAGAAAATTCCGTTCTTGACACAAGATGCAGAAACGAGGCGACGGTTGCTGGAGAAGTGAAGAGAAAACGGCTTCTTCAGAAGCCCTGTTGGGTTTTGCTCCAGAAATACGATGAAGAGAAGAAGAAAGAGGTCGCAGAAAGGCGCCAGCGGAATGAAAATGTGAAAGACCCCCCGAGTATAAGTACTTATCGTCGAATTTATGTTGAAAACTTCTCGAAATGGCTTCGACTCGCAGACAACAACGCAATATTGAACTGTTATTGCCCAGTACACCTACAAATGGAACTCTTCACATCCGCGATCAACAGATATGCGCTTGCAGCTCCCATAACAGATGCTGATCTTGTTGAGTTCTCGATTTGTGAAAATTCTGGCCATCGACTGAAGTGCATAGAAAACTTGTGCGAGTACTGTAACGATACAGAAATCGGATATGAACATTCAAAAGCAAGACTTGAAGACCATTTTCATGGTGTACCACCAGATGCCGAAATCACTTACGCCCAACTTGTTGAAGTCGAACGCACCGATGCCAACCAAAACGCATACAAGAGAGAACAGCTTGTGATGCAACTTGCTACTCGTGACGAGTTCATCGCTGTAGTAAGCGACTATCTTCAACGTGGTTGCCTTGCTACAGGAGCACAGAGGAAGACCATCAATCACTACGAACTTGTGAGAGAGTCAAAAGACTTCCGAAAAGTGAATCTTGGCAACTGTACATATGACAAGGACTCGATGCTTCTTGTCACTGACTATGGTAAGTTAAGAACTCTATCAAAGGATTCTTAAGGCTAGTAAGGGCTTTATCAGAGGATTCTGAGGGCTAGTCAGGACTTTATCAGATGATTCTGAAGGGTGGTAAGGACAATATCAGATGATTCTGAAGGCTAGTCAGGACTTTATCAGACGATTCTGAAGGCTAGTCAGGACTTTATCAGACGATTCTGAAGGCTAGTCAGGACTTTATCAGACGATTCTGAAGGGTAGTAAGGACAATATTAGATGATTCTGAGGGCTAGTCAGTACTTTACCAGATGATTCTGAAGGGTAGTTAGGACAATATCAGATGATTCTGAGGGCTAGTCAGGACTTTATCAGATGATTCTGAAGGGTAGTAAGGACTATATCTGTGGATTCTGAGGGCTAGTCAGGACTTGACCAGAGGATTCATCAGATAAAGTCCTTGATGGTCTCCAGAATCATCAGATAGAGTTCTTGAGAACCTTCGGAATCATCAGATATAGTCCTTGATAGCCTTCAGAATCATCAGAAAAAGTCCTTGATGGGCTTAAGAATCGTCTGGTAATGTTCTGACATCACTCAAGAATCTCAGCCAATCATAAGGCAGTATTTAAAATTTGAACCAATCAGAAACAAGGATTCTTTCCATGAGCCAATCAGAAACCAGTATTCTTTCCTTGAGCCAATCAGAAGCCAGTATTCATAAATTGAGCCAATCAAATCCATTGTTCTATAATTTTATTCTAGCGATGGGAGTCAGCTGCAGAGAATTATGCGAAACTTCCAATATGCATTTCAAGAGAGACAGTTACCCCTTGCTCTCGATCATAAGCTACGGAGTTGACCAGAACAACAATGCGAAGAAGATATACAACCATCTTCTAAGCGAGATCCGAGTTGTCAAAGATGTCGAGTTCAGCCTAGCCGGGATCAAATTCGCGCTTGAGAATGCTGTTGCTGCTGTTGGCCCGAAGAAAAATTTGTGGATTCAGTCAGACGGGGCTGGTATGTGAGTTTAGCATTTTCCGTCAATAACAGAATCTAGAATCTCAATTCTGGTCCAAAGAAATGTTCTCTACCCTCCCAAGATACTTCAACTTGCTCCAAGCCTATCAATTCCAATCGATTATTTGGTATAAAACAGTCTCTGGGCATGGGAAAGGTATGTCTCAAAGAAAAATCACACTTAAAATTTGTAAGGAGAGATCGACTCCTCCCACGGATGCGTAAAACAGGACATTGTCCGACAGTACAATCACCTTGGGGGCTCCGGATTCGGTGGCGAGCGTTTGGAAAATATTGGAGTGGTCGATTCTGCTTCTCAACTCGTAAATTTCCTCAATCAACAACGAAAGGATCATTTTGGAACTCTTGAGAAGAAAAAAGAAGACAGTAATGGCTACACTCTGGCTGGCCGATACATTTCCGAGTTCATTAATGATCCCAATTTCGTAAAAGAAGGAGAAAAAATCGCTGGATCTCGAGCATATCATCTTGTTCAACTGGTCAAAGATGAAAATAATCAATGGGATGAAAGAAAACTTTTGTTCAAAAAAAGACCGACAGATTCAGTGTGTCCCCGAATTCTACAGAAGAAAGAAGAAAAACATCCATGCCCAACATGTGGTCTTCAACCGTCACTTCATTGGATCCACCATGATCTTCAATAGTTATTTATCTTCAAATCTTTTTTATTTATTATTGAAATTTTTGCCTTTCATATCTTCGCAAAGTGAAGATTTTCTCGTTCGAAATCTACTGCCAATTAATTCTTTTATCAGAATATTCACCACTGAAAACTGCCAAATAAAAACGGAAACGAAGAAATTTTATATTATTTTTCCCTTATTTAGATGTAAATTTGAGCCCCAATAGTTTCGGGGATTCCCGTCATGGTTTTCCATAATGGTCAACCGGTGCGCAAGCGTGTTCCTACTGGAAAACGTTTATCACACCGCCCCGCGAAGGTAAGATTGATTTAAGTTTCAAAATGATCCAATCTGATCTAAAAACCGATAATTTTCAAATTTTACCGAGAAAAAAACCGATTATATAACGACGACAACGATAAGAATAATTCAAATCATTTAAATTTTGAATTGGCAAAGGAAAAGAGCCAAAACCGGAATTATTTTCTATTGAAACCGATAAAAATCCGATAAAAAGTCCGAAATCTGAAAATCCGGCTCGATAAAACAAAAGAGCTGGTCAAGAGGATTCCAAAAAGGTATGATACTCCCCGGGTTTAATGTAAAGTTTTTCCGGGAATCGAAAAGAAAATCTGCCCAATTAAATTGAAAGCCCACCTAAGTTCTATAAGTCTTGATTCATTTCAGAGTTGACAAAAGAGTACCTTGACTATCTACAAGATTCATTTTGGAACCGCAGTTTAATTAAATGGTGAAAGAATACTTGAATCATTTTATATCGTCTACTAAAGGACTCATTTTGGGCGTATCACACGTGATATGTCCAGTTAGTAGGAAATTATATGTTTTCAAATTTGCCATCATTTATTTTGTGGCGGTGGCGGCGGACTAAATAAAAGCGTTGAAAATCTTGGAGCATTTTATAGTCGTTGTTGTCTTCAGGGCTCGATTCGCTTTTCAGAGAGCTTGACAAGATATCTCTCGATTCATTTTACAATACGATTTCGACTGCCTAAAATTAGAAAAAGTTAGAGTTAGAGCTAAAATAATTTTAATCAGTCATTTCGGTACAGTAGAGTATGTTTATACTGATTGCATTTTATAAAGGGAACATTGCAGGAAAATTTTTGCTAGCATTTTATTATAGGTTATATTGGTCGCTTTGCGGAGGATTTTTTTGTCAGCATTTTATTGCCACGAGAAGTAGAGTAAAGATATTTGACACATTTAATGGATCGGGTTGAAAACGGATAGTACGTTCTTCAAAGGGTTTCATTTTAAACAAATGCCTATCGTAAGGATATCAAGACTCTGGGGTCATTTTATGTGTCTAATGCGTAGAGATTGTACCAAAATTGGCTTCATTTTAAGAGGGCGACTGAAAAAGAGCCTTATGAACAAAACGCTTCATTTTATGAAATGGGGGCTTCGAAGAGGCTTATTGAGGGAAGCGTTTCATTTTACGAATATGGGCGCGTGGAAAAGGCCTCATGAATAAAAAGCTTCATTTTAATATTAGAAAAATTTCCTTAAAAATGAACTTAACGCTGAACGAAACGTTTCATTTTATATTATCAAGAATCATTTTATTCGTTGTCGGGGATTTGCACTCAAGTTTCCTTGCGTTTCATTTTATAGTCTACAGAACTTAAAGTATACTGGTCTGTTAGATTTAGCTTCATTTTAAACCCTTTTTCTTTAATAAATGACATACTATTGGAATCATTTTAAATGCGCCAGTAGATTTCAGTGCAATAATTTTTGCAGGTTCATTTTAAAAACGTCGATTGAATCTCATTTTCGTGTAGAACATTTAGAATCATTTTAAAAACGGGCAGTATGGAACGATTAACAAACAATGTTTAGTATCATTTTACTGTTTTGATTTTTGATCAAATTAAAGTCCATTTTGAAACATTTTGACGCGTATTGTTGAGAATCATTTCAGTTCAACTAATGAAATTACTAAAAATTTGGAATCATTTAAGCAAAGTTGCAAAACCTAAGTCCCATAGCTGATACAGAATTTCATTTTATAAACATAGATCTTTCACTCTTTCTCACTTTCTAAAATCTCTCGGCGTCTCTCTTTTTGCAGATCTCTCATTCTAGTCTCTTTCTTTTGCTTTCGGATCTCTTTTCCTTCAAGTCATTTTGATGAAAAGTTGTCAAAGTGGCCCACATTTATGCTCCCCAATATTGCGCCCTCAGCGAAGAACCCTCCATTGATTTTTCTTTTTAGCCGTTGCCGACTCCCCACTACGACCAGCTGCTGGATCCGAGCAATCGCAAGGTAATCCCTATTCATTGTCGATTTTCCGGAAACAAGTCTTTAGACCTTGAAATCGCGGCCCAGCATGTTGCTTCCGCGGCTGCCGATACAAGCGACGCGCTCTCATCGGTTATCGAGGCTGGGCAATCAATTCTGCTCGACGAATCGATGGACAGCTTCCACAATCCACCACCTCGACGAAGCTCCTCTCTTCGCGATCCTGCTCCCTTCAACGCCTCTTCTGGCAACACCACTGGACCCAACAGCTCGTCCTCCTCCGCCGAAAAGACCGTCACCCTCCCACATGTGCGAAACCAATGGGTTAACGAAGGCTCCACTCTCGTCGAAGAACCCGTTGCTCGCCCAAACGACAACACTACCAGCGCCGTCCCCACCAGCGACTGCTCCTGCGAAGAAAAGTCGCCCAAGCTTCCCCAGAAGCGCAACTGGGAAATGGATGGATCGACTGATCCTGAGAATCGCCCCCGAAAGCGATTCCAAGACGGCCGCGCTCCTCCCACCAGCTCCAGCGACGACAGTGTCAACGACACCGATTATCTGCTCGTAATGGGCGCTCCAGGTGCTGCTGAAAAAGCCCAAGAAAAGGCCAAGAGACGTGCTACTGCTGCTGCTCACGCTCGAGCTTTGAAGATTGTCGAATCTTCCTACCGAGCGTTGGCTCCTTCCGACGGCGACTCCTCTCAACCCGACAGCGACGATTTCGATGGCGTGCTCAACAAGAGCGAGCCCCGTCGAGTTGTTGTCAACACGAGCGAGGAGAACGACACACCCAACAACTCTCCTGACAGCGACGGCAGCGAGGAGCCCATGCGCACCACCAACTTTGACCCCTTTGCAAACAGGGGCGAAAGAGGGCTGGACTTGCGATGGCTCAACAAGCACGATCGCGTTGTCGTCCGCCAGCCTCACCGAAGACCTTCCGAAGACGCTTCCGGCTCGGACAACGTGTCAATGGAGGTCCACACGTCCGAGTGGAGCGACTCTTCTGCTGCTGGAGCCTTCCTTGGACATCCCACCTCCTCCTCCTCCTCCTCCTCGCCCCCGTCTGACAGCAACAGCACGCCCAACGCCAGCACCGTTGCCAACGTTGGCACCGTTCTCGCCGATGTCATCGAGGAAATGGCCGAATCGATCATGGACATTTCGGATCTGTCAACCTTGACAGATCCCGAGACTCCCACCAACGCTCAGCCCCCACTCGGAAATGGGCTCTCACCCGCGATGATGGCTGGCGCTCTTACCGGCCTTTGCGACAACGGATTTATCCGTAATATGTCGCCAAAAAAATCGGCTCCGCTCGCTTCTCGATCAAAGGGCCCGCTTAGCCCTGTTGAAGTGGTCTTGGTTCGCCAGATGGATTCCTCGTCGTCTGGCTACAGCTCTGGCTCAAAGAGCGGCGAAGAAGAGCGAGAGCTGATGGACGTGGACCCGATTCTCGCGATCAAGGAGCGAGCTCTTCTTGGCGGCGAAAGCTCAAGCTCCTCCGACGAGCCCACCACCAGCAGTTACAACACCAGCTCCTCCTTCCCAACTGGCTCTTCTTTTGAGCCCAGCTCAATCAGCGGCAACTCCAACGGCAACTCTTCCTCCAACGGCAACTCCTCTTCCAGCGGCAACTCCTCCTCCAACGGCAACTCCTCCTCTTCCAACGGCAACACCTCCACCAGCGGCAACTCCTCCTCAAACGGCAACTCCTCCTCAAACGGCAACTACTCTCCCAACGGCACCGGCAACACCTTCAAAGGTTCCATCGTCACCGTCTTTGACGAAGTCGATGTTGGCGCCGACCTTGGCGAAACAACCATCGTCGCGCCAGCCACGCCTGCTAACCGATCTGTCGTCACCGTACCTGGCGGCAGCGTCGCTGCTCCCGACGAGAGCGTTTTTGTTGGCGGCGCCGACGTAAGCGGCATTTCTGGCGTCGAGCCCCTCAACGCCACCGGCACCGGCCCTTCTCCCAACGCCACCGTCCTCAACGGCAGCGGCAACGGCACCAACGGCAACTCCACCAACGGCAACTCCACCAACGGCAACGGCACCTACACCGAGCTCCGATCCGGCGAGAACGGTCAGATTGGCGAGCAGGGCAACATTGTCCTTCGGGCGTACCGACGGGATGGAACTTTGGGCCGGCCAACCGACTTCAACACCCCGCGAATCTTTCGCATTGAAAGCTTTGTCGAGCCGCCACACAAAGGTACTTTCCATCAAGATAATTTAAATCGAGAACTTTTAATCAAATCATTTTAATCAAAACTTTCTTAATCAAAATTTAGCTCCGGCCGACGCGACCCCCTTCCAAAAGCAGCTGGTCTCCCTCAAGAACAACCTCGCCGAGATCTACCTCAACCACGACAACTTCCGCGAGGAATTGGCGAATGGAGAAGTTGGGGCGTTGATCCTCGTCAAAGACGAAAATGGGCGTGTGACCGCGTTCAAGAATAACATTGTCTTGCAGCGACGAAATTAACGGTTTAAACTCCACGGGAGTCTGTTTTCAAAAATAAATTCAATTAATCTTTCATATAAAATGCAACTGATTCTTGATATTGATTGCATTTACGAGTGTCTGAGTCGAGCAGAGCAGGGCTAGAAAGCGGAGCGAAAAATTAGAGTAGAAATCGGAGCGAAAATTAAGAGTAGAAATCGGAGCGAAAAATTAGAGTAGAAATCGGAGCGAAAATTAAGAGTAGAAATCGGAGCAAAAATTAAGAGTAGAAAGCGGAGCGAAAAATAGAGCTAGAAAAGTAGAGCTTGAAAAATAGAGCTAGAAACTTGCGAGTAGAAAATGGAGCGAAACTTAGGAATTAAAAACTCACGAGTAGAAAATGGAGCGAAAAAAATTAGAGCCAGAAAAGCCGAGAGCCAATTTTAAAAAATCTCGAAATTCCAGAGAGCCGCCTCGAAATTCCATAGAGTCGCATCGAAAATCCAGAGAGCCGCCTCGGAAATCCAGAGAGCCGCCTCGAAATTCCATAGAGTCGCGTCGAAAATTCATATTTTTGGAAAAAGAGCCAGTTTCAAAAGTGCAAGCTTGCAAAAAGCACAATTCCAAGAGTCACCATGCATTTTTTGAAATTCAAATCTAGGTTGAGTTTTCCCTTTTCGCAAGATTTCGTCAGATTTGTACTTTCGAGAATTGCTCTGGGTTCGTTTCTTGATGGCGCCCGAATACAAAATTACGAAAAAGGCCACATTCCGATGCTTATCAAAGTCCGGATGTTCCCAAGGTCAAATTCTGCTGAGAGAAAACTGCTGATCGAGAGAAAGACTGTGCCGACTGTTATCAATTTTGTGGCGCCTTTGACTCTTTGCCCCCTCTTTCTTTGATAATTGCCGCGTCACTAACATGTTCACTTTCAGCGTGAACATTTCGAATTTGGAAAATTGGTGGTTGCGGCTCCGTCGCAACATCAAGAGAGCCTTCGTCTACCCGTATCCGTCCATGTCACTTGGATCGTAAGTACCAGAAAATTTTGAGACTAGAAATTGTGACTAGTAATTAGCAAAATTAAAATTAACTATTAACTAAATAAAACTAAAATTGCAAATTTAGCCACACATCCACTTCATCCCTGTCCATGCCAGACGAAGAGCGCGACTTGGACATGTCGAATTCGTCGATGGCTAACCAGCTCGCGGATACGCTTCAGGCGAATGCGGAGCAATTCCAGCGACAGCTTCCTGCCCGACACCCTGACCCACGCCGACTCTTCATCTCCCTACTCGATCATCAAGAGATCACGGTCGAGAAGTTTATCATCGTGGCCCACCTCAGCGGATTTCGAGTAAGTTTATTTTGAAACAAAAGAAAATTGGCATTTTATTTTAGCGAGTCAACAACCTCATGTTGTTTTCCTGGTTTTTCGTCGGCTGCATCTTCACGGTGGCGGTGATGATATTGGTTCTTATGCTGTTTCCGGCTCGACGCCGCTGCTTAAGCGGACGCTTCGCGCGCAGCGTGATTGGTTAGTTTATTTGGCGCAATTGCGCTTAAAAATCATTTAGCGCCACCCGCTGGCAACTTGTCAATTTCTGTCCCCCGATGGATTTTGGCCTCGACGACTTTGGCTTTGTCAACGACCTCGTCAACGGCCTCGTCAACGGCACCGCCACCAACCTCACCGCCATGAACCTCACCGCAAACTCCAGCGTCGCCAACTTTGCCACCTCCAACGACACCCTTTTCATCTACGACGATGAAGATTTCGGCTCCGGCGACTTTGGCTCCGGCGACTTCGGCTCCGGAATGGACGTCGTCTTCGAGTCCTTTGGCTTCGACGAATCCGACGGCGACTACAAGGGCGAGCTCTTTTTCGACATGGTTGTCGGTAAGTTTAAACTTGATTGAAACTAAAATTGAAACTAAAATTGAAATTTTAGGATCGCTCGAAGCCGCTTTTCGAGCCTTTTGGTAAAACGATCGCCTGAAACCCCTCCAAATTGTTCTTCCACGAATTGGCTTCTCCCTGTACATTGTCCCTGGTTAAAAACACCTCGTCTTCATCTATCATTCCATCACTCAAGCTTTTCCTGACCTCGACTTCTTGATCCCTTTCTTATCATTTAGCCTTTCTTCTCGTTTAGCTTTATCATCTTTAGCGTTTCTTCTCGTTTAGCTTTAGCCTGTATCATCATCTCTCTGTTTTAACCCTGTTCCAAATTTCTATCCCTTTAATTAGAGCTCTTGTGAAAAATTAAAAATTTCAGGATGTCGAAATCGGCCCAGAAAATGAATGCCAAGCCAGATCTCTCGACAGTGACCGAAGAGTCGACAATTGTCGGCTCTGATGATCCAGAGAAATTCTACGCCCGCATCGATCCGCCATCCAAGCCGCCACCGCCGCGCCCGCTCAAGACTCCAGCGGAATTCGCGCCGCCGCCGCCGCCGCCGCCGTCGTTCAAGAAGCCTCCGCCACCGCTCCAAAAGCCGCCCGATGCGCAGAAAAAGCCCGACGCCGAGACACGAGAGCCCGTACGGGAGCCCAAGCACAAAGTGTTCATTCGGGATCCTGTGCACATTTGTCGGAGCTCGGAATCTAAGCCTCTCATCGAAGCTCCGTCTCTGAGCGTCATCGGCCACTGCGGCGATCGACAGGTAGTGCCCCCTTTTAAGTGAGCAAAATCAAAGCTCAACTTCTAACGGAGCATTAAGGATCCGCGAGAGCTCAACGACTCTAGCGATGATGATGAGCAGCCAAATCGGTACCAGCATCAGTTCCGGAACTCGAGCCGCGCAAGACGACGAGGGCGATTTGGATCTTGCGGACGACCAGCTGCTGCTCTCAAACAGGTAAATTTTTTCAATTTTGCAAAAAACTTACTTTTGACAAGGACAACGACGACTTGGACGCCCTTGCCGACCAATTTGTTCGATTTGGCGTGGCACGATCATCTCCTAAACGTCCACAACCTCCACCTCGCCCGTCTGTTGACCGGCAACGACTGCTCGCCGAAAACGCCAAGGTTCTCACCGAAGCGGAAAGCGCTCGAGAAGCAATGGCGAGCGCTCAAATCAAACCTCCACCCCCGCCGCCGAGTGCCTACTTTGGCACCCCGGTAAGTTTAGACACGGGTGCTTTTGCTGACTTTTACTTTTAGGATGACGAGATCGATGCTTTCTTTGTCCGCGACAATCCCGAGCGCGCGTTTGTCAGCGGACTTGCCAAGACAAACCATCACCGGCTCCTGAATTTCAAGCCGTCGCTGAAGATTGCATGCGCCGACGATCCCACCGCGATCAGCAAGAACAAGTTCCAACTCCAGGTGGTCACCACGCATCGAATCAAGATCCTCGGAGGGCAAGGGCTGCTCGACATGACGCAGAAGTCGACAACAACTACGCCAATCAACTGGGACGGAAGTTTGCAGCACACCAGCAGCGTCCAGCGAATCAACAACTACTACAACTAGTTCCCCTGCACCTGCTCTTCCACTGCTTTTGCTAGTTTAGTCGACTGTGCGCAAAAAAGCTCGCCAACTTGGCTCGCCAACTTGGCTCGCCAACCTGGCTTGAGCTAAAATTTTAGCTAAAATTACAATTTTAGAAAAAATGGGTCGCAAAAAAGCGACCGAATACGTTTGCGAGGCCGTTGCTCGAATCGACCGCGATGCCCGGAAGATCAAGACCGTCGTAAAGACAACTACGAGCCGCGTCTTGCGTCGTAAGTTCAAGTTTCGAGGGGCCCCTTATTTACTTTAAGCCTTTCGATCCGAGGGAATCGTTTCCTCAGCAGCCCGGCTATCGCTCCGAGATCGTCCGTCGACTAGCGCACCATCGGGCTCAAGTGAAGGCTCGACAAGCTCATCTCCGCCTCGAACGCGACGCGCTTCAACTGGCGCAATTTCTCGCAAGAAAAGTGCCCTTGACGTCGTTTCGGATGTCGTTGACACTGCGTCCAGTAAGTCTAAATTTGTAAAAACCTGTTAACATGAATTTTTAGAATTTCTGTCAAATCAGAATTTGGTAACAGTTGGCGCCCGGATCAAAGATGTCGAACTTCACGCCAGCTATGCGACTCGTCCGACTTTTCCTGCACCTCTTCCGCCTTATTTCAGCCCCTACCAGTACCCGTACCCGTCTTCGCGTCCCACTTCGGCGCCTCCTTCTCCGCCTGACTCTCGTGCTCGTTCTCTGCAGAGTTCTCCCATTTACCCACCCGCTTACCACACCCTTTCTCATACGAGTTCTTTTTCGAGTTCCCGTACGGGTTCCCTTACGGGTTCCCATATGGGTTCTCCTTCGATTTCTCATGCGGGTTCCCGTGCGGGTTTTCCCGACTACTGTCCAATCTATCCCCCACTCCCGCCGTTTGATCAATTTCATCGATAGTCAATCCCCCCGCCCCACCTTACCGTAAAATTTATTCTAGAGCGATGGAGAGTCCGCTAGATGTCTCGCCTGTTAGAGTTCGGCGCTCTAAAAGAAACTGCCGTAAAAAGGAGCAGCCCCGCACCAAATCCGGAAAACTGTCTGCAGCGATGTCGGAGCCAATCCGAAAAACCGGCAAATACAACCGAAGAGGCAAATTTAACCAAATCTGGCATCAATAACGATTTTTTAGTGCTCTACTCGGCCGATCAGCCCATCTACGGATCTCGTGGCCGCCAAAACGGTAATTTATCGCCAAAAAGCTTTATCTCATCAAAAATTTAGTAGACCCGCCAATCGAAAGGCCAACTCGACGACGAAGTCAGGGCCACCCCCGAATTCCTCTCTACCAGCAGCGGCTGCGACGAAACGACTCGCCAGCACGCCGTGAGCAGCCTCGGCGCCAGCAGCCCCAGCGCCAGCAGCCTCTGCGCCAACAACCTCTGCGCCAACAACCCCAGCGTCAGCAACGCGAGCAGCCACAGCGACAGCAGCCCCAGCGCCAGCAGCCACAGCGCCAACAGCCCGAACGCCAGCAACGCCAACAGCCCCAACGCCAGCAGCCACAGCGCCAGCAACGCGAGCAACGCCAGCCTTCTCCAGCTCGACAAGCGTCTCCAGAGCCAGCTCGACAACCGTCTCGACAACCGTCTCGACAACCGTCTCGACAACCGTCTCCGCAGCCCGCTTCCCCGCTCCCTCGACAACCGTCTCCGAATACAGCGCCGACTACAGCTCCAGCGCCGACTCGAGCGCTCACTGGTGCCGAGCGGTATCCAAACGTGGCTCGCTGGCTCGACTCGCAAGAGGATCCCGAGCCCGACTTGGTCCCAATCAATTCCGTCAAGCGATGGAGCATCGCTTCTAACCTCAACTCGATTGTCGATGACAATCTGAGCGCAGAGGGCCTCACCGGATGTCTCAAGGGCACAAAGCTGGCCAAGTTGCTCAAGGGGCTCCCAATCACCGACAAGCCGGTCCACGTCTTCAACTGGCTTCAGCTCGGCGCCTTCTTCCCCAAATTCAAAGTCGTCGACGGATACTTGACGATTTCGTCGCTGCGAATCTGGGCAAGTCTTTTCGCTCTTGCAAAATTTTAAAGTGGCAATTTAGATTGATTTGCCGAGCGAAGGCTGGTCATTGCTCAACGTTGAAGACGCCATCAACTCGCAAACCGCCCCCAAAATCTACAAGCACGTGACGACTGCTCCGTTGGTGGCTCATCCCTGGCCCGACTGGCAAATCGACGATCTCGCCAACGTCAAGGCGGCCTATTTGCTCGTCGCCGGCTTCATTCCCTGCGCCACCATTCCCGAATACGACCCGGGAGCCATTCGATGGAATCAAATGGTAAGATTTTCAATTTGCGACAAGAAATTAACAAATTTCAGGAGTGCCGAATGTCTGGCACTATCAAGCCGATCCAAAAGAAGCTCCTCCGCTACAATTTGGAGCTCAAGCTCTATCAGAGCGCCATCAGCGAAAACGAAGAGCAAATCCGCTCTTCGAAAGAAAACAACGACCCTTCCGGTGAGCGAGAGCGCTTCAAAACGCTCTTTAAAGTTCTCCGCGGCCGCGACGCTCGCTCCGTCAACGAAGTGCGCCGAATCGACGAGCCCATCTTGTGGGCCATTGGCAGCACCGCCCGCTCTTTTGAACACCTCGTCGGCTGGCTCCCAAAGCGCGCAATGGCGCAAAATCTTCTCGCCGCAAATGCTGCTTCTCGACCCACCGAGTCCGACGCCTTTTGCACTTTGGTAAGTCGATCAAAAGAGCCAAATTCTAATCAAAGTTGTAGTTCAACTAGCTGCCGCCGTCGCCACTTTCGTCGCCGCCGCTGCTGCACTCGCCGCCGATAAAAGTGCCATCCCCACTACTAACCCAACCCGACGTACTAACATGCACCCATCACTCAAAACATTTTCCTGCCCGTTTTTCAATTGATACTTTTGTGCTTTTAAATTTTCGCTTTATTTGACTGTTTAAGATTTAGTTTCTGCTTCAAACTTTCCTTCAAATTTAGTTTTGCTTCGATTCCGTTTCCTTCAAATTTAGTTTTGCTCCTAGATTCCGCTTGTTTCAAATTCGTAAAACTAGCTTTAAATTGTTCAAACTTGTGCCACTCTTTCTCAAACACTCAATCTAGACCACTCAATTGTACTTGCGCTCTAATCAAAAATTTTAGAATTATGCTCGTTTGGTTGATCTTGGCGGCGAGCTTGAGCTCACAAGAGATGACAAGCGAAGAGCACCGACGATACTGCAGCCGCTTCGTTAATCACCAAGACCTGATTTGCCGGAAACACGCCCCAAAGCCCTCGTCAACTATTCCGCCAACGCTCGAGCCGCCGACGACCGAGCCTTCAACGCCCGAGCCGTCTCCACCACCACCACCAACGCTGGAGCCGTCTCCACCGCCAACTCCAGAGCCAAAGTCGTCCAAGGCCTCTTCTCCGTCCAAGCCGACTCCTCCAACTCCCGAGCCAACGTCAACGGTCAAGACAACATCCATGTCAACTTTGCCGGTCGAGACAACTTTTGCCGAGATCCCAACGAGCAGCAATCAAACGGACTCGCCAAGCCCTACGTCGCCGAGCTCTACGTCAACGAGCCCTGCGTCACCGAGCCCTACGTCGGGACGTACGTCATCTGTCGAAAAAGGAAAAATTAATTTTCTCACGTGAGTACGCTAGGTGCTTTTTCTCACCAGGTACCCTGAGCGCGCGGGGTACCCTGGCGCGCATATGGCGCATTTAATTTTATTTTTTCATTTATTTTATTTTCCTTTTTGCACCCCGTGTGCGCCAGGGTACCCCATGCGCTCAAGGTACCTGGCGTCGCTAACCACCCCGTAGGCTCTTGTTAATTATCGGCCTCGCTTTCTCCTTTTTGGTGGTATTGATCGTTCTTGGAATGCATTGCCGGCTGGTGCGCTCACGGTACGAAACAATTCCCATGGAAGAAGTCGATGCCGAAGGTGAGGACCCCTATGAGCTCAGAAGAGACTTTGAATATTTTGCAGCTCTTGATGCAGAGAGGACAAACAGAGCCACCAACCGTCGAGCGGAAGAAGAGGAAATTGCTGCAACACGTGCTGCTGCAGAAAATGCCGCTGCTGCTGCCGCTGCTTCAAACCAGCCAGGAACCTCCGCGGCGACCTCGTCAGAAAATCAGCCAACCACGTCAACGACCTCGCCAGGAATCTCCTCGGCGACCTCGTCAACGACCTTGTCAGGAAATCCGCCGACAAATTCTCCACAGCTGTCCGAAGAGTCCTTTTCAATCGAGACCGAAATTTCAAATTTCGAGAGCTCGCGAACGCCGCCCGAAAATCGAAGCTCTGCGCTCCAAGCGGTAAGTTTTTACGAAAATTACAATTATTGATTTTTAACTCTTATTTCAGAAAACGCCGCAACAAACAATGGAGCAATATCTCGCCAGCCTTCCGCCCGATGTTGTCGAGCACATTGACAAGTACGAGTCCCTCAAAGCCCGATTTGATGTCCAGTCGCCGATTACAAAGAAGCTGGCAAAGATTACGGTGCCGCTGAAAAAGCTGATGGATGCGCCGGCAAAATTTGGGATTTTGCGACGACAGCTCTTTGTGGAAACGCCGTTTTCAACGCCAGTCGCTTCGCCTGCTCCCTCGGCGACTCCGTCGGCGACTTCATCGCCAGAATTTGTCTCGGCACTTCAGTCGCCGATCGCATCGCCCGCTCGTCCAAATTTGTCGCTGCTCTCCGAGGAAGGAAACGACTACTGGAAGAACGAGTATTGGAGCAACTCGCCAGTCGCCAAGGTTTCACCGTTTAGCGTTGTCGAGCCAAAGCAGGAGCCGACGACGGAGCCAAAGCTGGAGACAAAGCTGGAGCCAAAGCTGGAGCCAGAGACGGAGCCAGAGACGGAGCCAACGACGGAGCCAAAGACGGAGCCAACGACGGAGCCAAAGACGGAGCCAACGACGGTGCCAAAGACGGAGCCAGCGCACACTTACGCCGCCACCGAATACGAATACGACTGGCGATTCGGCTGGCAATATGATGATGGGCAATTTGTGCCGAAAAAGAAGAACCCAAAGTCGAAGGCGGCGTCTTTTACCGCGAAATGGAAAAGCTTTTGGATGAATTCGACGGGCCCAACGATCAAGAATTCACCTTTATCGATGGGCTGGTTGCCTTTGGAAACTATATTTCGTAAGTTTTAGGCCTTTTGATTTTTACTCATTTTTGTCTAGAAAGCGAACTCAAGCTGCCACCACCGCCAACTCCTCCACCGCCTGATTGCTTCCAATTGTGCCTCTAAAACTTTAAATTTTTTCAAATTTTCAAGGTGCCATTTTTAGTTTATGACATATGGATCGGAATATTGCCTTGACGCCGGAATCAATTCAACGTGGCCGCGAGCGACTCGTCCAGCGCCGACAACGACGACGAGAGCGACATCAATCATGGGTTCAAGGCCACTCGGATGGTCTCAACGTCCCAATTACCCGGAGTCGGTCACGCCGTTCTTTGTTGCAAGCCGACCCAACTCCGCGTCCAGCAACACCAGCGCCCCCACGTATGCGGGAGTCGTCACCACTGGCTCGGCCCTTCCCACCTTTGTCCCTCTTGCCACCAGTCGAGTCAGATCAAGAAGCGTCGGCCCCGCCGCCGCCGCCGCCGCAAACAACAACGACAGCGCCAACAACGGCGCTGCCAACAACGCAGCCTCCAACAACGACGACGCCAACGGCCACTCCAACGGCCACGCCAACGCCAACTCCACCAGCCACGCCGCCGATACGGGACCTGGTCAATCAAACGTCCGCACTTCTGGATCCCCACCAAAGACCAGCTACTCCATCAACGACGGCGGTGACAAAGCGAATGAGCGAGCTGAACCCGTTCGGTCGCAAGAAGAGCCACTTCGAACGCCCATTGTCAACTCCACCGCCAGTCCTTCGCTTACGGAGCCTAGCCCGGTCTCCTACGAGAGCGACAACGATTTCACCATTCTCGAGCGAGCCATCAACAGCGTCCTCGACTCCTCCAGCAACTCTGAACAAACTGTCGTCGGAGCGGGCACTGACAACAGCCCGGGAACGAGCTCTCGAACGAGCTCTCGAACCAGCCCTGGAACCAGCCCTGGAACCAGCCCTGGAACCGACAGCACCGCCAACGGCCACACCAACGGCAACGCCAACGGCAACGCCAACGGCAACGCCAACCTTTTCGACAATGCCGCCCCAATTTGCTCCCGAGTCGAATTTGTCGATCCACCCGATTCAACTGGTGGCGGTATTTGTGGCGATTTTCGCACTTTATCAGATGCTCAAGGCGTTTTTCACGCGAAACCAGCAATAAGGTAAGCCATCGCAGTCAACAGATTTTTCAAGTGTATTCTAGTGCATCAGGGCTCATTCCAAAAGAGCTCTTTTACGCGAAAACTGTCCCCCGCAACACCTGGGTCGACTACTCGTCTTCGCTGGCGAGTCATGTGCGCGAAAACACGGGCATTTTTACTCGAATGCCGACTTCATTCAAGGGCGAATTTGGTTTCACCGTTCTCCCGCAAGTTTGGCCTCTTGTCGAAGCAGACGCACTCTTCAATCAACTGCTCGACGACATTCTCGTCTGCTGCCACCAGGAAAAGACGCTGACCTTGGACAATGTGCACCAGCGATCGTTGCTCTCCAGCCACTTGCTCGATTCGATTCCGCACTCGAGCCGCTTTGGCGCATCCATTGCGTAAGTTTTTGCCGCTTTGCGTATACTAATCAGTGAATAGACTCGCGGAATTTTACTTGGCGGCGTGCGATTGCAAGTTCATTCCGAGGTCTTATTGGACGGGGCGAGAAGAGAATGGTGATATGAGAGCCGTCAGCTACCTTGGGCGAAATATCTGCTCTTCAACAAACTCGCCACTCACCAACGACTCGACCGCAGCACCAGAGGACAGCGAATACTTGGTCGGTATGTTCTAATTCTAGCAAAGCAAAAACTCACAAAACGGTTTAGGTCTCGACGTTACAACCGAGCTGACATCGATTATGCAAAGCATTTGCATGGCGAGTTACTCGGAAGTCAAGTCGCGGCAAGCGTTTTCACCGACTGTGCATGAAATCGACTGGACGACTCTTCATCGCAGCGACGCATTCGCCCATCTGGTGACCGTTGCCAACATTGTCGACTACACGTACAAGGACCTGGCGCTTCCAATCCAAAATCGACTCGGCCGAAGATACCACGATTTGGAAACTCCGCGAGTCTTTGGAACATTTCTCCAGGTCGAACTGCCGAAGCTCGCCAAGGATCTTGCTCTGCTCAAGGGCTACTCCTTTCACCACAACTCGGAAAACGTCGCACTCTCGATGCTCGGAATTATTCGCCAATTTTTGGTGAAATTTGTCGAAAGCGAAGAGCAGCGACTCACCAAAGTGCTCTCCTTTACAGCGCTAGAAAAGGAGCTCGTCTTTCAGCCGTTGGAGAATCTGTCGCCCGAGCAGCAGCAATCCCGACGCGTTCTCCTCCGCACCCACAAGACCCTGCGCGGCACGTGCATCGCAAATCACAGGTGAGTGAAGTTAGAATTATGAGTGACTCATAAAGCTATCTTCATTCATTAGGCACACAATGTTGGTACTGCTGGATCGACTCGCCAACTTTTACGTCGTCTTTGCGCTGCAAGAAGATCCGATGCTCCGCCTTAAATCTGTCCTCAAGTACGACCACGTCATCAACCAAACGCTCATCACAAAGAGGCGATCGCAATTTCGATCCCTTTTGCAAACGCTGGGCATGGATGCAGCCGACTTTCCACTCTACTGCGAGACAAAAAAGCTCGACGGCACAGGTAAGCTTTTGCGCCCTTTGCGCTTTTTGCACTTTTGCACACTTTTTACCAAAAATTCTAGCGTTTGACATCAAGCCGCCAAGCCCGCTCAAGCGACGTTTTGATCCAAGCCGCCTCGTCGCTCCCAGCCGAAAACGAACCATCAGTTCCGTCTTTAGAAGCGTCGTCGGAGTTCCAACTCGTCGAGCCTCTGCACGTGCTTCATCCGTAGACACCGCCGGGGCGTACGCCGCCACCGCCGCCGTCAGTACTGGCGCCACAGCTGCAAGCAGCGCCACCGGGGCGTACGCCACCGCCGCCTCAAATAAAAACGACCCCTTTTCAGGTAAATCACCAAAAGCACAATAGACAAATAATCAGATTTGTTTTTCTAACGCCCTTCTCACGATGAAGTGTCTTCAACCAAGCCATAGCACCCAAGCAAGCCTGTCCTGCAGTTCAAGAATGCACGAACATTATATTAGAAAAGGATACACGTGTGAAACAAGTTCAATACGGCTAGGAATGTAAGGAATGTGAGAGATATATGCGCGGCCCCTTTTTGGTCTTTTTCTGTGGCACCATTTTTTACACCTTTAAACTGCTTTTACTGGAACATTTGTACATTTTCACCCTTTTTCGCCTTTTTATGCTTTTCTCGTTATTTATGCTTTTCTCGTCATTTATGCTTTTTCGCCATTTATGCCCTTTTTCGCCATTTATGCCCTTTTTCGCCATTTATGCTTTTCTTCGTTATTTATGCCCTGAATTCATTTAAAAGCAAAAATCCAAAAAATCTCAAAACCTCTTTTTAAACATGATTGAAACTGCCAATAAACATTGTAAATATTCATCTTAAACAATCGTTTTTATTTACAAAAGTTGAGCAGGTTTTGCGCACATTTAAAGCTAGTTTGGAAAAGCAGAGTTGCAGAAAAATGAAGGTTGAAGCAGGGTTAAAGAAGCAGAGTTGAAGCCAGGCAGGGTCGAGCTAGGAATGTATCCACGAGGGCGGAAACGTGTAAACGACAACTTGGTAAGCGAGCAGGCGATGAAGGCGCACATTCGAGTCTTGAAACACGTTGCGCCGCTGAAATGTGTTGATCAAGAGTTTGTTTTTGAAGGCGTCGGGTTCAAGTTCGTGCACAAGTTGATCAATGTCGGCGGGAGTTACAAGAAGTTCGGTGTCGTTTACTGAGCCCCAGGTGTTGGGGTATACAATCCTCACCTTGGGGCTCATTTCGTGCAAGTTTCCCTGTCGATCGCGCAATCTTCTAGAGCTTATGGTTGTGTAAAAGGCGTCGACTTGAACGCGCAGCAGCCCATTGAGATTGTGCGCAATTTTTCTCACCGTTTCTTGAATATCCCACGTGTTGAGCAAAGTGATGCTGTACCGATTGCACAGTTCGTAATGGCGTTTCCAGCGATCCCCAGCAAAGGACATTTTGTGATGGTCCCAATGATCTCCTAAAATTCTCTGTGAGCCATAATGTTGAAAATTTATACTAGCGTTTCAATTTTGCAAAGTTTAAAATTTGAATTTCTAGTTTTGGTGAAACCCATGTAAAACAGCTCGTCCGAACTTACGTATAAAGTAAATTGGCGCATATTGTAGCGGAGAATCTAGCGCATACAGGCACTCCTCTTCAATCGGCTCAAAATATTCTTCGGGGTCGGGATAAGCGCTTTCCATGTTGTTGTTGGGAATGAGCTCGTTGAGAAACTTGATGTCCGCCTTGGTTCCCTCGCCAAGATTGTCGCTTTCGCTTTGCCAGTTGATAATGTTTCTCGAGGCGGGATAATACCAATCGAGCTCTTCTGGCGACAACTCGTAATCATTTTTCTCGTCTGCATCTACTGGATTGCGTGGAGGCCTCAACGGAACAGAGCGCCGATACCGACTTCTTTGGCGCCGAATGTACTCGACCGTTTCACTTAGACGCTCGCGAAAACCTCTCATTCTGCAAATAGATTTTTATGGCTACTTGTATTTTAGTTTTTATTTACGGCTACACAGTTGAAAAACGAATTGAAAAGAGCTTGAAAAGACAGCTAAATTAGAGATCCATTTGCACGCCTGAGGGGTCGAGTAGTGACCTTGTCCGGCATAATCAGTCGTTTTGTCAGTATTGGGTTAATGACCTTGCGCGTTGTTGTCACCGTCTCCATTCTGTCGCGCTTTCGATTCCACAAAAACTGGGCCACATCTCGCGTCACTCGCTGGTAATAATCGATTCCAAATACAGCACACAGAAACTCGTAAAACCTATAAATTAGTCGGTCTGTTGTGTGCGCGGCTACTTACGAAAGCTGAATCTTTGTCTTGCATCCCTTGGTCGACTTTTTCGTAATTTTGGGCTCCCGTACGGGCTGCGCAAAAGTGTGCAAAATCTCCAGCGTTCGATGCTCATTTCTTGGGTCGACAATTTGCTTCTCCAACTCGCAGGGCTCTTTTGGGCACAATGCATAACACTTGGGCGAAAGTGTTAGAAACCAGCCCGATTGGATCGATGCCTCTTCTTTCAGCAGCCCCGGCTCCTTTTGACTTTCCACCGATTCTCCAGCAAACCATTGTGGCTCGACAGCTTCCTCCCACATTTTCACCAAGTGTGGCTTGACACATTCTTTTAGCGTCGCTCTTGTTCGAGCATAGGCCAGCGAGTCTGTGTCGCAATAGCAAAATTTTACAGTTCCAGGAATCATGAAATCCTTGATAATGTCCTTGAACTGCAATAAATGCAGCTTCGAGTTTTGATAAATGGCGACTTGGATATGAAGTGCCAAATTCTCAATAACGGTCGACTTGCGCATGACAACTTCATGAAGCGGGTCCATTGCCACATCCTCGACGCGAATCGGTTTATAAGCTTTGAACATTGAGCTTTCAAAGCACTCGCGGAGACGATCAGCACCGACAATTTTTGTATTTACAAAGCGATGATTTGCTTGCGCAAATTTTCCAACAAACGAGTTCAAAAAGAGCTTGTACATGTTTGAGCCGGCATCGTCGCCCTTTTCTCGCACTCGATTCGCTCCTTGACCATTTTGTTGACAAAGTTGGCAAAGGGCGCTCCTCGATAGTAGTTGACAAAGTACTTGATTTCATACTCGTAGCCTTGGTCAATCAAGTATGCCAGCATATCGCTTGTGCACAAGTAGTTTTCCTTGTTGTAGCAAAAGATGTTGTCTTCCTTGGGAAACATTCGCTTCTTGACATCTGGGGGAATGATGCGGTCAATGTGTCCTTGGCAGTCTCCAGCTTCGAGTTTTACTCGCGCAAAAATGGGCGGAATTTCGGGATGGCGATCATAAACTTCTTGCGTCGCCTTCAAATCAACCATAATAAAGCCAAAGAATTGCGTCTTGTTGCCCTCGATGCGACGAGCAAAGGTTTCCCTAACGTCATTTTCGCCAACGACTTCGTCAAACAAAAACGGATAATCGGCACTGTAGAGCATCTCGGGACGTTTTCTCAAAATGATCGACTTTTCCTTGACCCATTCACAGTGGTACTTGATGCGCAACACGTGGTGAAAATTTTGTGGGCCTTGGAGGCCTTGAACATGTTGCCCGTCTAGAGTAGGCTTTCCCCAGTCTTGCATCTTGTCTTGCTCGCGCAATGTGTCGACAATCGAATGGATGCGCTCAATTTCTAGTTGGACAATTTCGGGCGTCGAAAGAACCTTGTTGACAAATTTGCCATTGACAGAAACTCGACGTGTTCTAGCGGATTTATAGAGCACTTTTTTGCAGGAAAGAAGCGGACACGGATGAAAATGGCAGCCATTGTACTCGACAAGCAGCTTTTGAACAATGTGCTCGCCATCGCTGTTGGTGAAAATCTTTGAAAGTGTAGCAAAGCCGTCAATCGAATATCGCCCAATCTTTTTTTCGACAAAATTGTAGGCATGTTTGATGCGATCGCCCATAAAGTTTTTGTTCAAGTACTCGAGGTAGCGGATCGACTCGAGTGAGGGATTTTCCTTTTTGCGATAAAGTGGAGTCGCTCTAAAATTGTTGAAATTGCTCGTCTGTCGCTTGTACAGCATTCCGGCGCCAATTGGAAGCGGTTGACGAGCCATGTGTCCATACAAAGCATTGAAATCGTAAATTGTAAAGTCGCAAAAGGCTTCTCCATTTGTAGATTGCCACAGCTCTTTGGGAAGATCGTCACTGGGCCCATTGAGATTAACTGCTCGGTGAACAGACTGACAGATGCCGCCTGTAAGATTTTCGCGCAAATCATTGTAAAAGCTTTCTGCCTCTTTGGGCGGCGAAATAATTGGCGGCAATTGTTCATCATAGTGCATAAATGCTGCAGTTTGGGCAAGCTGTGCAATTGAGAGTCCTCCATGTGCGCCAAGTCCAAAAACTTCGAGACACTTTTTCGAGTAGGCATCAATCGCCGCGGTCAGCAATCGCACGTCGTTTAAATTGTAGTTGACAAGGAATTGCACCATGTGCATGTTTTTGACGCTTTTCGCAATCTCATCCCAGAGGCCAAGACTTTCATTGTAGGCTTTGGGCGAAATGTGAAACATTTTTTTTCACCGCTTCATTTTCAGCATCGCACTCGTAGCAGTCGCCCTTCCATTCAAAATGCGAATAAATGTACTGGATCATTGTGGGAGGACAATCTGGTGGCAAATCTTTGAGCGCAGGAGAATCGTACAGTCGCTCGAGACCAAGGTACTCGTCGAGTTTTTCGAAAAAGTTGAGCTGCGTCCACTCGCCCGATTCAAACTTGCTCTTGATAATTGAATTCATTTCAAGCGCGTGATCTTTGCACGGAATGTAGAGCGAAGACGAAAACGCTGGATAGGGCGGCAATTGAGTTGTCTGATACATGGTTTCCATGTCTGTAAACAAGTCGTAGGGGAAAATGCCTTTGGAAAAGGCGGCAGGATCCAAGTTGAACGATCGAGCAAATTTTTCAAGAGAAATCGGCCCCACGTGGTTCATAAAATCCCGAAAACTTATTCCCGCACACTCGAGCATCATGTAGCCCCCGTCACGTTTGATTATATTGAGCTGATTTGATTTCCTTCCAACAAAATCATACAGTACCGACGTGAGCAGCGGCATCAATATTCGCAAGTCGTAGCTTTCTCCATTCCAGGCGTAGCACTTGAGTTTGAAAAATTCTTTGAGGTAGTTGAGCTTTTTGCGAATGACGCCTTGCTCCTCGGGCGTAAATTGATCCTTGGCATCTTTGCTCAGCTGGTAAGAGTACATGTCGATCCCTTGCTGAAGACATGGAGGTAATTTTTCGGCCGCGCGCTGTCTCAGCTTGGACAAATACTTGACGAACTTGGCCGCCATAATTATGCCACTTTCGTAGTTGAGATCTTTTCTCAAAAACCATTCCTTTTCTCCGTCGCTAGTCATGCAAGCAATTGAGACTACATTGTGGAATTTGTGATTAGAGAGAAGCGGCTCCTTTTGGGGTTTTTGCCCTTTTGACTTTTTGGGCGTCGCAAATGCGGCGGCAGTGCTTGCATTGATCCATTGATTGAAACACAATTGTTGTCGACTTGCATTTCCTCGCCGCCGCCATTGTCCTCGCCGTCGTCATCGTCGCCATTGCCCTCGCTCTTGCCGTAGTCGTTGGTGTTTTCGTAGCCATAGATTGACGCAATTCGGCCAAGCGAGTCGCTCGACATGACCGATTCTATGTCGTAGGTTATGTAAAAGTTTGGACAAATTGCTCGTGTGGCAAATAACCATCTTTGACAATTTCTTTTATAAAGTCGGTCACGTGGCGGCCGCGCACCGTTTGCGTGATAATTCGCCTCTGCTCTAGAGTGCACTTTTTGATGTGATCTTTCATTCGAGCGGGGCGATCGTTTGTATACGGACAGTTTTGGGTGGGGCAGCGCGGCATATCTTTCACTTCGGAACTTTGAAGCACTCGCACGCGGGTATTTTCGTCAAATACATTGGGCACAAGTCCACCCAAATTTCGTATCGGCTCGTCGTCGTCGTTTTCAATATCGGTGGCATCGCTGTCGTACTCGGGAAAAAGGTCAACGTCGTCGTCACCGTCAGAGTCGCACCGCTCGTCGACGTCGGTAAGGTCGCCATAGTCGGCACAGTTGTAGTCGTCTTCGTCTTGCATGGCAGCGGCACCAGCGGCGGCACCGCCAGTTCCAGCAGTGGCGATATAAGTCCCAGCAAAACCAGCCAATTCTCTCAAACTGTCAGGATACTTTTCGAGTCGACTTTTTCGCCAGTTGGGGTGAGCAGCAAGGCCAGGGTTTCTCCAGGGCTCGGCTTTAAGGCGCTTGTAGCTCACGTTGGCAAATTTTTCAAATTGGTCCAAAAAGTGTCACTTGTGTGCCCAGCGACGAGCAGATGCAGCTGCTTGTGACTTTTGAGCGGCATGGCGCCATAATAACAACGACGATCGCGCACATTATCGTTGACAACATTGCCAGTATAAAGCATAATGTTGACTCCAAAGCGAGATCTTATCCGGCCAAGAACACCATCGGAAATTGAAAACCGCTCATTTTCCGCCAACGTCAGCTCCTTTTTCACGTGCTCGATTTTCAAGTCCTGCTCTTCCCGGCTCAACTTTGGCCATTTACAGTTGACAATGGCTCTCCAAACAGAAATCCAATTTTTGTCAAAATCTTCTGCCACGCGGCGAGTTGGAATAAAATGAAACGTGCCCAAGCGATGGAAAAATGGCCTACTACTCTGCAAAACAACAAGCGGCCGATCGCGGTCAAGTTTTTCTAGCTCGCCAAGCACGTTTCGAATGCAACTAGGTCCAGACGTTCTGTAGGGCCTATATGAAATTCCCAGGGGCGCATAACGTCCCCCATACAAAATGTAGAGATCAATTCCGAGTCGCTCTTCAATACGAGGAAAATCGCTGCGTTTTGGAGTGCCAAACTCGGCAACCAAATCATCAACATTGACATCCACAATTTTATCCCACAAGGCGCGCGAAATTGTTTTTGGCTGCTTACCTCCAGACAGACGGTGCCAATTTATTCCCAGCTTGACTGCGTGGTAAAAGTTGGTCTTGCAGCCTCCATCATCATCATCGGAATCAGAGGAATCATCGGATGTTCTTGAACGAAATCTCTCGCCTTGACGATTCGAATACAAAAAGCGATTACGGCGCTTGCGAGCACCTTCAGATTCATGCTTTTCACGATTTATTAAAAATCTTGAAACTTTCATTTTTCAATAATTGAATAAAAAGACTTTTTTTCAATAAAACAACATTTATTAGAATATACACATGCATAATTAACCCCTTCGTCTTCGTTTTGGAGCAGCCTTGGGAGGCGGTGGGATAGTTTCGGCCCTTCGCTTTGTGCCCCTTGCAGTAGTTTTCATGACCCGAGTACCGCCCACCACAGATGCCTCTGAATAATAATAATAATTAGTGAGTTCCCAAGTGAGTAAATACCTCGAGCTTTGGCGTCCAAAAACAGCTCTCGCACTGGCAGCCTCATAATCATTGCATCCCATTGTTGCACAAGCGTATCGGCAAATTTGATTTTTGCAGTAACGAGCGCAGTTTGACCTTCACCATCATTGTCGAAAATGAGCGGCACCAACCAATTTTGCCCTTTAAAGACAAAATAGTCGAGTCCGCTAGCTGTAGCTGCATTCTCCCATCGTCCATTGTGTTTCATAAAGTTGATGTAGTGCTGAGTTGCAGTTGACCAAGGAGATCGATATGCAGGCTGACCATCAATGTAAATGGTAAATTCTTGAATTTTGAAAAATGGATGTTCCATTGTAGTCTTTGAGATGCACTTTTCAAATGTCATTTGACTAGCTTGTGAATAGGGCATTCCTGTGAAAATTATCATTTTGGGAACAGGTCCTGCGCTCAACTCAATGTCGTACTCGCTCATTCCAGTTCCAAGTGTCTTTCGGGTGAATTTCGGATAGTAAAATGGAATAACACATTCACCATCCCGTCCAGTTGAAATTGGTCTTTCGGCATCAGTTTTTGGATCGCAAAAGACTGATTCCATCAAAAAATTTCGAGGCTTGAGTCGCTCCTTTGGATCCAGCTTGTTTTCCCTGAAAAAGTAGATCATCTTTTCGTCTTCGGCAAAGTTTTCTTGTCCTTCAATTTCTTCTGTCTTGACCATGTCTTCGATGATGTCGTGGGGGCGCCACCATTTTAGATCCGTTCCATTGGCAGCCGTGGTTTTGATGTCGGTTGCCTTGATGTTGACTTCGTCGTCGCTGTACGGGTCCAATTCAGAGTTGAACTTTTCAATTACCCGTTTAATTTTTTTAGCCTTTAATTTTTCAGCGCAATCGCATTGGCCCGCATTGTTGTGCTGCCCAATATTTTTTTCAAAAGTTTGAATTTCTTCGGGAAAGGGCATTCTGACTTGATCTAGCTGGGACATTTTGGCTCGGCACTTTTGAAAGTTGGAATGGCGCATTAAAGCATAACACTGCTCATTCATTGTAAGTTCAATTTGTACTCGGGTGCCGGCTGGGAGCACTCGACCCTGTCTGCACAGGCCGTGCATAATGGGAGCCCGAACTTCGTACTCGTGAAAGAGTCTCTCATACGGGATCCAGATCTCGTATGCCGTCTTCTTTGACAAATTTTTGCTTTATCTCAGCCGGCTCCCATAGCTCGGTGGCAAACTGTTGCCGATTCTCGACCAAATTTAGCTTTTCCCCTCGAAATTAGTGTGATGCACTTTGAAGCGCTCAAGTTCGGGCCCCTCTGCATCAAAAGTGTCAAACCTTCCCTGGGAGAAAAGCTCGACTTCTTGAGCCACTGTTGATTTGTTGAGTTTGGCCTCACAGTGGCTATAGTGGCCATACTCGGCTGGGTCAAAAGACGAAAAGAGCCGAGTATCTGCAATGATAAAGTCCATTTTTTAATGCCCTTGGACAAAATATCATTATCGGGCACATAATTTGAGGGCATTTTAAAATTGCAGCCAAACATGCACTGCGACAATTTAAGACTGTACTTGTCATCGGGCACTTCAAAACGGGTAATTTCCGGACAGTCATTTTTGCCGAGTCGCGGCACTACTTTGTAGCCCTTGTACGGATCCAGAGTTTCTTTGAGTTCGCGCTTTCTTCCGCGAAAGAACATGAGATTTCCATAATTTTCGTTTGCCATTCTAAACGCACTGCATTAGACAACTGAGTTACACAAGCTTTTTCAAATATTCCAATATACGAGCACAATCAATAAATCGGAAAACAACGAGGACAACATAGGTGACGAGAATTGCCACGAGCATAATCATCTTCGTCTTCGTCGCTTGGCGCTGGCTCGTTTCTTGGGCCGAGACACTATTCCTCGTTTCGAGAGAGACAGTACTTTGCCTCGGGTCGTCACAAGGAATGCAATCGGCGATTGCTTCTTCTTGCTCTTTCGTCGGCGCGCCATCGAGTGCGATTATTCCCCCAATCTTGACTGAATAAAATTTTAACCTTTACAAGTCACCAAGCGACCAAATTTACGACAGTTGTAACGACAGTTTTTACGACAATTGTAACGACAGTAATTAAATTTCAGTCTTGTCTTTAACAAAATTAATTTCGGGTTCGTAGTAACGGCGATGCAAAGTTTGGCCCTGGGGACCTCGCAAAGAGTAAGTTGGTTCAAAAGTTCCAAAGTGAATATCAAAAATTTCGTACAATTCTTTGGTCCACTTTGCGCGCGCCCCTTTCCTAAAGCGGGATGATTTAGCTGCAGGTAAAGTGTCGAGAGGGATTCGAACAAGATCTCCAATAAAATATTTGGAACTTTTGCCAGTGCGTTCTTCGTACTTGCGCTTGAGTTCCAAATAATCAAAGCTCGCGCGCATTTGCACGATTAACGCTACTGGGAGCACGATTAATTGCGCTATGCACAGAATTATTGTAGGCAACATTGACATCTTGAAGAATGTGTATCCAGCGGCGAATTCCGTTGTGCGATGCGAAATAGAGCTCCAAACGATCTTCCAGCGTGCGACTTAAGTTATCCGTTTGAATTTAACAAATTAAAATTGCATGCAAAAGCTATCAATTATTCAACGCACTTGAATCGCTCAGCAAGAGCAGCTTTTACGCCGGTTAGCTTTACGGGCGTCATGTTCCAGTCGTCGAGCAGAAGCGCAACTTCCCCTTGAATTCGTTTCCTTGATCCGTCATAAACATGGTGTGCCCAGGCAAATCTAGCGTGGAAAATATGTCGCCCAAAAGCTGAGCGCATTCGGCAGATGATTTGGTTTTCATGGGGCGCACAAAAGATTGCCGAGACAATCCGTCTACAACTACCAAAATGTATGGATAGCCAGAGTTGACGGTGGCATCGTTTTTGTACGCTTCGATTGTATCTGCATAAAGACACGTGTAGAGTCCAGTTGCAATGACGGGATTTCGCCTAAACTTTTTGACAAGCGGCTTGTGGCGAGAAAGCACTTCATTGCGCCGCTTCATTTTTGCCACATCGAGCCGCGAATATGCAGTTGGCTCGTTGAAATTGTAGAATAAATTTTGACTGTTGTTGGGTTGTTGTTGTTGTTGTTGTTGTTCTTGTTGTTGATTTGGTTGTTGCTGGCGTTGTTCCCGCTGGCGTTGTTCCCGCTGCTGCTGCTCATTTCCAAAAATTGGAAAGGTCCTTGATTGGGGCTCCTTCGGGCTCGGGGTCGCTTGATTCGCGCGATTCGACTGAGTCGGAGTCGACTTCTTCGTCGTCGTCGCCGATGGTGGCGGTGGTGTGACCAGGTTCAACTTTGACTGCGGTGACCTTAGGTTGAGCATCTTTGCTATTCTTTGGGATCTCTCCAAATTGCTTTCGGAATTGGGCAGACCGCTTTGCAAAACTGTCCTTGGCATCATGTCCGGCAAATCCAACGGGTTCCCGAATTGATCTACTGTCCGTTGGCTCGAGCTCGGGCTGCTGGTGGGGATTTCCATCGGCTCCGAAAAAGTAGTCTTTTGGGTACCACTGCTTGGTTGGAGCAAATCGGGGAAAGTCGTCTTGCCGCTCTTCTCGCCCCCCACGCATTGGGTCAAAAAAGAAAGGCCGCGGCTCTGGGTGAGCAAAGCCGGAGTAAGAATCGGTTTGACGACTGTAGGGCCAGTTGGATCTCCTAGCCCTGCTCTGTTGAGCTCCTCGGTCATCGTATCTTGCCATTTTGCCGCCGCCTGGACTGGGTTCAAATCGGACCCGCTTGGATCTGGGTTCAAATTTTTGTTCAAATTTTTGATCAAATTTTTGTTCGAATCTGGGGTCAAATCTGGGGTCAAATCTGGGGTCAAATCTTGGGTCGAATCGGGGGTCAAATCGGGGGTCGAATCTTGGGTCAAATAGGGGTTCATAATAGTCGGGTTCGTAATGGCGAGGTTCGTATTCGCGAGGCTCGTATCTTGGCTCGTATCTGGAATCGTGCCTTGGCTCGGGATGGGAACCATGCTTTGGTACATGCCGTGGCTCGTGCCTTGGTTCATGCCTTGGCTCGTGCCTTGGCTCATGCCTTGGCTCATGCCTTGGCTCATGCCTTGGCTCATATTCGCCTCTGGGCGGTCCAGCGGAAGTGGAGTTTTCCGCGGCCGGCCTCGGGGCCTCTTCGTTGTCTGCAAATCTTTTTGGTGAGTCTTCTGATTCGACTTCGTATTCTTGTTGCGTCGGCTCGATGTCAATGTTTCTAGGCCTGTAGGAGTACGATTTTCCCATTGGAATGGCTCGGTTTGAAAATCTTGCAACCATTTGGGCGGTTCGCGTCTCCTCTTCGGTGTAGTCCGGGTAGGGTTCGCCATTTGCGCGAGGGCCGCGGGCCCTTACCCTACCTGTGTCGGGATTGTACTCGATGTCGTCAAACAGATGTCCAAATTCAGTTGGAGTCAGACTAAAGTATACACTCGCTGTTTTCATTCACTCCCATGCGCCGCGCTCATTATGCCTCTCTCTAGTAATCAATCTAGGATTAATATTTAATTCTCCCTTAAATCAGTTTTTTCATAATTTTGAGTGCGCCACCTACAAAAATCGGACCCAATATAAACTGCGGTTTCATCTACAAAAGTACAAAAATGTCTTCAATCATGGAACAACTCCGCCGGGAGCAAGAGTCTCCCGAAAAAGAGAATTCACTTCCATCGCCCTCTGATAATCGGCCTGAGCCGTCAGATTTTCGCGTACCTGAGCCGCCTCAGAGAAAACGAAAAAGGAGCAGCTCCCCATCCCCAACTCGAATCAGCAAAAAGGCCCTCTTGGACTTTTTATTCGGCGCCGAAGATCAACCCTCAACTTCGAGAGCAATCGAGACCACTCCTGAAGACAACAACGACAAATCTCAACCCAAGTCGCCAAAGAAGCGCAAGCACATTCCTCCACGACCAGCATCTAGCTCCGACGACGAAGACGACGGTGACGACGAAGACGACTGCACCCCCGAGCCTTCCGTCAAGAAAGCCAAAGCCGCCCCCTACACGCCGACCTTTATAAAGATCCAAACCGCGTTTCCAATCTTGGAGAAGGAGGAGGAATCTCTCTCGGCGCCATTTTTGGCGCTCATCGACGGACACAAGCTCTCCAATCCTCCCAAGGGCACCTACTGGATCAACTTGCTCATTGAGCGAAGCGTTCGCAAAGACACGAGCCCCCGATTTGATTTTGAAAAGCTGTTGAAGCGAGGATCGCGCATTCAGTGCGTTATTAATCTCCACAGTTTTAATCCCAAGAAGCGAGACGACGTCGAGTTCAAAAAGTACTTGCCCACAGTTTTGGATCAAGGAGGAAAAGTCGTCGTCTTTCTGCGAGCACGAGTCGAGCCCAAAAAGCCCGAATATCAACGGGCCTTTGAGCCTAAAGGCTATTTCAAATCCAAGTTTCTCTTGCCACTCAAGTCGACAGAATGATCGGCTCAAGTTTTCTTGGTAAGTACTTTGGGGACACGCGGCTCAAACATCCATTTGCGGCGATTATTAGCGGAAGTACGGGCACAGGCAAGACCCACGTAGCTAAACAGCTCATTGAAAAAGAGGGCATAAGGGGAAGAATTTCGACCATTTATTACTTTATGCCCCGCCTGGAGCCTTTGAACATTAAACCCCCAGCCCATCAGCGATTATTTTTGATGGAAGGTCTCCCCACTAGAAAATGGGTTGATGACACGTTTAAAGAGACCCAGCGCGACACTCTGATTATTTTCGACGATCAGTGGGCAGAGTGCGTTGAAAACCGGGCAATCGAATATCTCTTTGTTTATGGGAGACGCCATCTGGGGATTAGTTTAATTGGCATCACCCAAAATTTTTATCAAAAGTCGAAAAGCTCCACCCTCTATCGGTTTGAATTTTCTAGAATTGCCTCAACTAATTGTTTATTTTAGCAATTGCATGACATGCTTTGTCTTGCTGCCGAATCATGTAGACTCGTCAATCAACGCCACCATCGCCACCAAGCTCGGCTACAGCGCCTGCTACAAAGCCGCCCGAAAGCTCTTCAAAGAACGTCGATGCCGGTACCAGTACGTTATAATTAGAAAAGACGTAGAAGATCCGACGACGCCGACCTTTTATACAAACGCCTTTTCTGACATTCCCGAGTTGGGGCCAAACCCCGTCTTCTTTGAAGAAAACGACGAGTAACTATACGATTCGGCATTCATTTGTAACACTCTTTTTCTACACTCAACCGCTTTATCTACTTTCAACCGCAAAACAACAAAAAAGAATAAATGTTTTTATACAAAATTAGAAATTGTATTTGGTTTTTTGCAGAAATACAGTAGCGAGTTTGGCAAAGTGACAATGACAGTAAACAATGCAGGCCAGCAAGCCAACAAAGTTTAAAATCGTATCAGCAGAGCAAAACTCGGCACACGGAGCGGGTCTAAAAATTGCGACCGCAAATATCAAGGACGCGGCCATTGGCCGATCGGATCAAAATTTTGACCCGCTCCGCGCGCAGATCGTTGACAAGGCGATGCTCTTGGGTCTCTTCGGCGTCGAGGATGTCGCACATTTCCTTGGCGAAGGCGGCGCGCTCGAGAACGGTGTTGGCCTGGGTGAGGCGGAGGAATCGAAGGTTGTCTAAATAAAAGTTAGTTGAGCATTTTTTCGAGCTACTCTTACCTTCGAAAATAGAAGCGCCGTCGATGCAGTAGCTCAGCTGGTCAGCGTCCACGTCGACAAAGTTGACGCCATTTGGCGCGCGAGTGGGATACTTGGGCGCGGGAGGAGCCAACGGAACTCGCTGAGGCTGGGCCTCTTGGTAGGTGCGCTGGTTTTCCTGCTGTCGCTGCTGCTGTCGCTGTGGCTGGGGCTGCTGCTCGCCCTTTTTCTTGCCGCCAAAGAAGGGCATCTTTCCTCGGCCAACTTCGGGAGCTTCAGCGGGCTGGGAGAGCGTTCTCGAGGCAGCTGCCAACTTGGCGCTTGCTCGTGCCAAAGATTTGGCGAGGTTGGTTCGCTTGGCCGCCGTTGTCTAAACAAATTTGTTCTAGAATTGTTTTTTTCAACACTGCAGCAAGCTACAGTCGAAGCAAGCTACTAGCCACAGTCGCAGCAAGCTTCACTTGCGAAAATTTCGACTCACCTGCTTGGTCATTTCAAAAAAGTAAAAATTGATCCTTGCTGTAGGGTTGCAAAAACCAAACTGAGCATTTTTTTGCATTTTTCACACTCGCCAGGGGCAGTTCTAGAGAAATTTATTCAATTTTTTTATTGAAAACAACAATAACAAACAGGGTGCAGAGTGGGTTCTAGAGATTTTTTTAATTTTCTTCTTGGACGACGACGGGGCGCAGAGTTTCTTCGACTTGGCGACCGTTGAGCAGTGGATCGGCGGCTTGTCCTTGCGGCGGCAAAATTGGAACTGGCATTCTATTTGCGCCAAGAATGAATCTCGGTCGTCCAAAAGATTGGACCTGAAAATTTTCAAAGGGCACATCGTTTGTGCGCGTACGAACCCGGTCAATAAAGATTCGATGGGGATTAATGTCGGCGCGGATGATTCGAGGAAAGACGGGATTGTAGAAGCTGTTGCGAAAATCTTGGACGAGCGAGGCGTTTCCATTGTTGCCAGTGACAAAGAGCACACCGTTCCAGGGAATTTTTTCGCGGCAACATTTGACGCGAAAAGGTGAAACCGCGTAGTCGAATTCAACATCTCCACCGCCACCAGTAGTTGCAACATAGAGCTCACGTCTGCGCCGGCGCTCGGCATCGAGGCGACCAATGTAATCCTCGAGGCGATCTGCGGTGAAAGCACAACAGCCGATTTTTTGCTGGCGAAGTTTCACTGTTTTTACGCTTTCGGTGAACCTTCGCAAATCGTAATCGGTCATTTTTTCTAGCTCGTACTGCTCAATCGGAAGAAATTGGCCAAGGATGCGGCGGACTTGATCGTTGGCGGTCTCTTGGTCAAAAGTTTTGTCCTTGTAAAAGCGGTCACGCAGCGTAGTTTCAGCAAACAACACCAGAGTCGAGTTGAAAAGCTTGTTCGAATAGCCGCTGAATCGCTTTCGCATGTCGTGAAAATAGGTTTCGTAGCGCGGGTACTGAACGCGATTGTAGGGCATTGAAAATTTTTGATTTTTCAGCGAGTCGGCGTCGCGAGAGTATTCAATTTCGTAGGAGCGGCAAGTGTACTCGTTGTTGCTATCAGTCGTGTGCATCATTGTGGGGCGATTCGAGTTGAGCAGCGGGCCACTTTTTCGAAGTCCTCCTTGAGCAATGTCGACAACGGGAATCAGACATCTTTGGCCCTTGGTCGAGTAGGTTTCCGGATCAACTAGAATTTATTAGAAGGTGAGAGAACATTTCAACATACCGGTGACACGATGAACTACAATTTTGAGCCCAATTTTTTCGACGCCATTTTCCCTGTATCTCTGAGGAATAAATTCAAAACTTTCGTCGCTGGGAACTCCGCAAACTCGAGTCGGGCGAACTTCGATTGATCGGAATTCGTCTTCATAGTTGACGCCGATCAACGGTACTTGGTTCAGGCCAATCTTTGAGGCAATTTCCACCTTTTTCATGGGCATTTTTAAATGTGACAATTGAGTCCAAAATTCCACCCAGTCCAGCTCCACCAGTGCTCCTCCACTCGATATCCATATGCCGAGATCAATTATTCAGTCCAACGGTATTCCGCTCAATCGAAATCTACTGATAAACGGTTCAAAGGATACAGCACGTCAGAGAGAGATCATTCATCGGCAAGAGAAGACATCATTCATCAGCCAGAGAACAAAATGCCAAAACGAAACTTTAAAAAGTCTTTTCTTGGAGTCGACGGCAGCGTCTACTGCTACGAGTGCTACTTGGAAAATCGACCTCACGCTCACCTCATGTTCAAGCCCTACATCTTTTGCTCCATTTGCAAAGCCGAGTTGACTTGGAGTTAAAGTCTCGCAGCCAGCGTGCCAGTTTGGCGCAGGTAGGAAAACCTAAATCAAGGTCTTAGTGGTCCCTCGAGTTCGATTCTCGCCAGTGACCAAGCTCTTTCGGGGGCGAAACGAGAATCAAAGCTTATTCCGGCGGCTATTACGGCGGCCGTACAGAGCACCAGGAAATAGCTGACACCTCAGCTCAAGCTACCCGCAAGGAGGAGGAGGAAACCGGAGTTGGAGGCGCGGTAGACAATCAAAAACCACCAAACTTTTTTTCATTTTTTATTGCACTAGAATAACAATTGCACTAGAATAAGAATTGCACTAGAATAAGAATTGCACATGAATTTAGAATTGCACTAGAATGGCACGTGGGAAATTGCACTATAGGACACGTGGGAAAAGAGTAGGCGGGAAATTAGTAGGCGGGGATTAGTCAGCAAGCACGTGGACGACAATCAAAAGAGAACAGAGATGGTGCTGCCAAAGGCGTTATTGATGGCAGCTTTGCTTCCGTAGCTGACCGTGTAGTCGACGATATTTTTTTCTTGCTGCTTGCAGATGATCTTGAGCTTCCTGCGCAGTCGCTGGCTCTTGGTTCGCAAAAACGGCACATTTTTCTTTTGGAGGGTTTTTCCAATCTTTTTCGTAAAGCCCTTGAGAGAAAACATTATTCAGTTGCTGTAGATATTGATTTTAAATGACAACTAGAAAATTGGAGCGCATTTATACCTACCTCGGTTTCTAGCGCCAATTTTTCACGCCTTGTGTTATTGGAATTTGATTTAATCAATTTAGATTGGACCGCAATCGAAGCATCATCTACATCCAGCATCTACATCTTCCGCCAGCTGTGCCACCATCGTCCTGCAATAAAGCCTTCTTCCGCGAAAATGGGTGCAACTTGTCGTTATTTATGCAGATAAGATCTTTTGAAATTTAAAATTTCACGCCCCAGGATTCTAGAGCCTAGCGGCCACTTTTATTGACCACTCGTTTTTATTGACCACTTTATTTTTTATCGAACGATTTATTTTATTGACCACTTAATTGACCACTCGAGTAAAATGTCTGGCTAGAGCCTGGCTGCAAATCGCCCAAAACTGCACCGAGTCCAAACGGCCTGCCGTACGGCCTGCCCACCCTAGTCAAAGTCTGAATATTTTCCAAGTATTTGCCCCGGGGTCCCCATATGTCGAGCGCGCAAAATCCACCCTTTTTTCACTTTTTTCATTTTGGACTCGGCGCGGCGAAAGGGCGGCCTGCAGCTAAGCCCTAGCCAGACATTATACTACTGTCTATGCCGAAAACATTTTACATCGCAAAACTTTCAGAGGTTAGTTCAGCTTAGATTTTAAGTCTTTTATGATTCTCAATCATAATTTGGTTTTTTTTTTCCTAAATTTAATTGCATCAGTTTGCGCTTGATAAAATCTTTTCATAATGTGATGATAACTACTATACTACTGTCATTGTTGTTTGTAAGAAACCCTTTACATACCTTTTGTGTTGTTTTTGTTGTAATTTCGAAGGACTCGTTTTCGCGTTGGGGCCCATCCTTCAATTTTCTTATTCATAGTCATTTTTTCGGCTATGTTATTTCGTTATGATGAAATCGTTTCGTAGCACATCGCAAGCCCAACTGTGTTGCGATTTTTCAGGCAGATTGCGCTCAATACGTTTCATCTTGGATCAATGTCGAATCCTTTCTGCTTTCTTATTCCTTTTTGTTTTCTGCCATTGAAGTGACTTCGAGCTTTTTATGTGGAAAATCCCGTCTCCAAGCTGAAGTAAAGGAATCGTTTTGGACACCATAACCTTTTTCTGTCGATTTACCTAGCTAATTCTGTCGTGTTTTCGTCAGTTGATCAGGGTTATTGTTTCCTCGGCTCCACATCGAGATCGACATTGCTTTTCGCCCGCACCAAAGGTTGTTGATTCCGAACATCCCGTGTTCCAGTGTCCACCGCTTTTCGAATCAAAGTGTTATTGTCATCACTCAGAATTAACAATAACCTACGCAGGTTTTTGCCCTTGCAATTTCCGGGATTCTGTGCATCAAACGTGTACGTTGTTGATGGACTGAAAATCGCCCTCGAAAAGCCCAAGCAGAGTTCATGTTGATAATTCCAGTCAGCTGTATCGTTTCGACAATTTCAATTATGTCTGAAAGTTCCATATGTTAACTCTACCGTGTAATTTGGTAAAATTTAAGTGTAAACGGATACGGATCTAAAGTTTCAGTACAATGAAGATGGTTTCATCGCGCCAGGATCGGGCGGCTTCTTCTTTCCTAAAGCAGGCGGGATTCGAGACCCTTAGGGTTGATCAGACCAGGTCAGGTTTCGCGCAGGTGGCTTAGTGCAGGGCTTCCAACTCACGCCCACAATTGCCAAAGTCGCTCGTGCCCGTCGACTTGAAAGTATCACTCATTGCAGAAGCGCAATTTTGGCTCACTTCTTTGAATAAAGATCATCCGCTTGATTCTATTATGATCCAATGTGCCGAAATTTTTGTTATTTTCCGTAAAAGCAGTCGCAAGCGACTGTTACCTTTTTTGTCCATGTGAAGGTTTTTCGAACTGCAGTTTTTAATTGACTGAAAGTGATATCATCATCGTCAATTCCAAGTAGGCGTGTCATCTCAGCGTATTCTTGTTGATTGCAGTTCTTCATTGTCATAACCTGAAGAATGCAAACCGCTTCGGTGGCCCTTGGGTCCTTTCCTGTTGTTGTTTTGTATTTCGAGCAGAGACGCAAGAAGAACCGCATAAGCGTTTCATTTTGGCCGCGAGTCATCCTCAGCACATCTGTTGCCGTCGCTGATCTGAAGGGAGCCAGAAGGGCTCCAACGGAATCCACAAATGATTCGAAGTCTTTGCGTTCGCCATCTTCTATGATTTCGTCGATGTAACGATCTCGAGGTCGAAGCGTCATGATGAGCAAGTTCATCATCTGTTTGTCAGACAGCCCAGACTCGCAAGCGTATTTGAAAGCACTCTTGTTTCGGTTGAAATGTTCCCAGAACGTCAGGTTCGGCTCAGTCCAGTTCCGAAGTCCATATTTTTCCGGGCTTGATATGATGACTTTGTCGGGATCACGCTTCGGCAATTCTGTTCCTTTGTGTCCTTGCTCACCGTCTGAGAGAAAGGTGTTCGTCTGAGTCCCTCTTTTGTTTTTTCCGCTGGTTTCAGGCTCAGGATCAGTGAGCGGGACATCGAGGTTAGTCTTGCTAGATTTTAATTCGTTGTTTCGAGAAGACATTTTTGGGTTTCGCAGTCTAAATAAGGAATAGTTTATATGTCTTTTCTTCCTTTTTGTTAATTTTTGCAAGCCTTGAATTTTGTGAAAACTTTCAGGAAGCTTTCCCGAGAGAGGGATTTTACGCGTATTTTCGCTTGTCGGGAAGGGGAGGTTTCTTTGTAGCTGGCCATTGATTGCGAACGCTCGTTGTGCCTGCCGTTGTTCTCGTTGCGTTTCGTATTCAGATGAGAATTGTCGGATTCGATGGTCAGTTGTACGACAAAGCTCACAGTTATCCAGGTTTGAATTGAGCAGCAGAGACCAGGTCCGTTCATTGTTGATTTTTCTAAAGAAAAACCTTGCCGTTTGCTTTTGGGCTGCGTAAAGAGAAATGTAGTTCGTCCGGATGCGACGAAATTCAATTGTGATTTTGAAATGCCATTCTAGCAGCTCATCAAGCGTAGTTGGCGCAGGGCTGGTTTCGAGGATTCTTTCAAGATTTCTCAGAGCTGTTCTTGGTGAATAATTTGGCAGGGCTGAAGAGTTAGCCGTTCTTTGAATCATCACTACGATTGAGCCGATAATTCCGTCACTTTCCGATTGATGGCCAATCGGGTATCGTTTGCCGGCGAGTGCGTCGGGAATCACTTCGAGATACATTTGTTTAATTCTATTCGTGACGTTGCTGCCTTGTTTCACACTCATTATTTCTGGTCTTAATTGTGTTGCGATTGTATCTAAATATGATCAATTGTCGAGATTTTTCGAGAGCTCCGCTGACTCTTTAATCATCGAGCTCCGCCGAGGTTTTCACGGAGATAGTGCACTTTTGGCTGTAAATCAAAGGCTTAGCCGAATGCCAAGCTTAGACCTAAAGAACACATTTTTAACGAAGGTAATCGTATAAATAAAAGCGTATATGCGTTTTGAGCAAAGAATCAATGCTTTCTTGTAAACAATTCCTAAACCTCTCTTTTTTTTGGCAAAAATCGGGGGCTGTGCCTTTTATTACAGCAAAATTTTCTAAGAAGAAATTTTGGTTAATTTTGAGCAGAGTTTTGCCGCCGAGGGAGCGAAAATTCATATTTAAGTTGGCGCTTCTGGCAAAGATCGAGGGCTCCGCTGGAGGCCGCAGCCAGAATAACTTGAGATGGCCCAAATTTGGCAAAAAATCAAGGGCTCCGCCGGAGCCAGTTCAAAAATTTAGTTGTAATGAGCCTCTTCGGCGAAAATCCTATAGAGCTCCTTCGGGACCCAGCCGGAAAACGAGTTAAAATGGGCCGTCTTGGCAAAAATTCTGCATGGCTCCGCCGGGGCCTGCTCAAAATTAAGTTTTAATGGGCCTTCTTGGCGAAATTCTGCAGGGCTTCGCCGGGGCCCGGCCGAAAATCAGGGTTAAATGCGCCTCCT